TTTTTTTGTGACTGTATATACGGAAGTTCTATAAGACCTTCGCATCAGGACTTAAAGATGTCGTCTGGACTACAGAGTCGAATGAAGACAAGACAAAGTGAGCCTGCTGCTTTTGTAGTAAGTATACACAGAATTGCATTACAATGCGTTTTTATACCTCCATTTTTGCTGTATTTGGCAGATCTTGAAGGGTGATGGCTAGTTACACATTCGTGATGGCGGAGCTATTTTATGTATGTAGTAATTAAGTATCATTATGATTTCAGTAGGTGGGTGGGTGGATGGGTATAGAAGAATGAAAAGGTAGATAAATTGTATCATGAGATCTTGAATATAAATATAAAGGACAAGTACCGGGTTCATTGGCCATGTCTTTGCCGGTTTCTTAGTCTTCTAGCTTGGTTTATTTTTTCATCTTCTCTAGTTCGCTTGCTTAAGCGATCTCCCATTCTGCGAACTTGTAGCTTGGCGTTTATTCTGTATTTTGCCCTGTGGCTTACGTTTCGAAGAAAACAAAAATCTTGAATATGAAGTACAAGGTCTAAGGGCGTGATTCGATATGAGTTATAACCAGCTATGATGAGTTGAGTTATTTCATATCAACCATCTAACTTAAAATTCAACTCAATTCAACTTTCCTAGTTTTTATAAATATAAGTAAGTAATAAATGATATCAATTACTCATTTTCTTATAACACATATGTAGACATCAACATTTTTATATTTATTAATTAATATCTTTATTTGTTTGGACATAAATTCAAAATAAACAAGATATGTAATTATTAATACAATTATTTTTGTCAACGAAGTCAATCTTAGGATAAGAATATGATTATATCAAATTATAAAAGACTAATCAAATTGATGCATTTTCTCCAAGACTCTTTCTCCTACACCTATAAATAGGGGCTTTCCAAAATAAACAATAACACCTCGTAAATCAAAGTTTCAAATTTAATGGCTCACAAGAGCTCTATTGAAGATTTGAAGACGTTCTTGAAGATTCAAAGGCATCTAAGTTGAATATCGGCCTTCAATCATAAATCAACCCTCATAGCCTCCAAAGTACGTTGAATGGAGAAGGAGACTAAGAAAAAAAAGAGGCGACGAATCCTCTCGGAAAAAAAATAAGAGGCGACATCCACTCGTCTCAAATCAATCCAAGAACATCAACAACATCCAAACCATATTCAGACCACGTTTGTTGAGAAGTTCAAGCATTAAGAAATTTAACATTTGATCCGAGAAAAATATTTTAAGCCCTCGAGTCCTCGTTATTCAATTCCAAATCAGGTCTAAGTTTACGAAGAGAAGAATCATAGGGTTCCATATAAAGATTGTACATGCAATATCGCTTGATAAAAATAAAATCAAGTCGTACAAAAGTTTTTATGTTTTTTATAAAATATGTAGTAACAAAATTGGCACGCTCAGTGAGACTCGATGTAAAATTTATTGTCACGAATTTGGCACGAACATGGGACAATCTCTACCTTTCATATCTTCTTTTCAGATCAAGTTTAAAGATCTTTGGGAGCAATTGAAGATGAAGGCTCGTCAAGCGATGAAGCCGCATAAATTCATCGCAAAAAAAGCGACTCTACATGTTCTCAAATCAAATTCATGGACAATTTATGTGAAGCACTTCCATCAAATCAAATCATCAACACTCCTCGATAAGAGTTTAAACTATCTATAACACGAGCCTAAACTATCTATAATGCTCTTTTATACGAGGCTAAACTATCAATAAAACTCCTCGATATGAACAAAAACTATCCAAATCCTCAAATTCAGATGTTCCTTGGTATGAGCCTAAACTATCTACAATGTTGCTTGACACGAGCCTCAACTATCTACAATGCCCCTTAATAGAGACTAAATTATCAATAAAGCACCCCCGATATGAGAAAAAAACTATCGAAATCCTCAAATTCATATGCTCCTTGATATGAGCTTAAACCTTCTACAAAGTTCGTTGATATGAGTTTAAACTATCTACAAGGCTCCCTAACACGAGCATAAAATGTCTACAAAATAAATAAATCCTTGACAAGAGAATAACTATCTACAAGTTAAATATGTAGCTTCTTGACACGAGCATAAAATGTCTATGAATTTTAAGGCTCATTGACACGAGCATAAAATGTCTAAAAAATAAGAACTCCTTAATAATAGAATAAAGTGTCTAAAAATTTGAAGGTTCCTTGGCAATAGCATAATGTCTACAAATTCAAAGATTCCCTGATACGAGCATAAAATATCTAAAAAAAATAAAGATATCCCTAACAAGAGATTTAAATGTATATAAATCTGAAGGCTCCTAGTCAAGAGCATAAAATATCTACAAAATTTTAAGGCTCTCTGACGTGAGCATAAAATGTTTACAAAATAAAGATCTCTTTGACAAGAGAATAAAATATTTGTAAATCAAAAGGCTATTTGATACGAGCAAAACTATCTACAAAATTGAAGGCTCCTTGACACGAGCATAAAATATCCACAAATTCTAAGGCTCATGATATGAGCATAAATTATCTACAAATTTAAAGGCTCCTTAATACGAGCATAAAATGTCTACAAATTCTAAGACTCCTTGATACGAGTATAAATTATCTAAAAATTCGAAGACTCTTTGACACGAGCATAAAATGTCAACAAATTCTAAGGCTCCTTGATATGAGCATAAACTATCTTCAAAATCAAGACGCTTTAACACGTATAAAATGCTTACAAATTTGACGACTCTTTGATACAAGTATTAAAGGTCAATAAATCAAATAAAGAACTCTTTTAGCATGAGTATAAACTGTCTTCAAATCAAATCAAGAACTCCATTATACAAGTATAAACAATCTAAAAAATCAAAACCAAATCAAGAATCCCTTAATATGAATATAAACTATCTATAAATCAAGTCAAATCAAGACTCTTTGATACGAGTATAATCTATCTACAAATCAAGTCAAATAAATAACTCATTGATAAGAGTTTAAACTATCTGCATGTCTCAATCAAATCCAAAATTTTGGATATTCATCCACTACCAAGACACTTTGTTTGTGAACAAGTCTAGATATCTAAACTTTAACATTTTACTAAATAATGTCTTTATTTATTTTAGACATAAATCCAAGATAAATAAGATATATAATTAATAAAATAATTATTTCTTGCTCCTCAAGTCAAATCTTAGGATGAGGAAAAAGATTATATCAAATCATGAAGGACCAATCAAATTGATGTTTTCTTTCCCAAGACTTATCTCTCTTACACCTATAAACAGAGTTGTCCCAAAATAAAAAAAATTACACATCATAAATCAAAGTCTCAAGTTCAAAAGCTCAAATAACTCTTTTGAAGATTTGAAAGCGTTTTTGAAGTTTCAAGGGCATTTAATTTGAAGATCGACATTCAATCCGAAATCAAGCCTCCTAGTCTCGAAGTTTAATAGAAAAGAAGATGAAAAATAGGTTGTGATTCCTAAAACAAGAAATACAGAGGTGACATCCACTCATCTAAAATCAATCTAAAAACGTCAACAACGTCCAAAAGACATTCAAGTCATGCTCGTTGATAAATTCAGGCAATATAACATTTGACCCTTGAAAAATATTTCAAGCGCTCGAGTCCACGTTATCCAAGTCCAAATCAATTTGCGAAGGTCCAAATCCAAGTCCACGAAGAGAGGAATAAGATGGTTTCATATAGAGATTGCACACGCAATACCGCTTTATCAAAATAAAATCAAGTTGTATAAAATTTTTATATTTTCATAAAAGTTTCATAAGTTTTAGTTGTTAGACATGATAATATCATTTAGGCACTTAAACTTTGTACTGGGTTTGTTGACCTTCATTTCTCATGTTCAAGCTAAGCCATTTCAAGAATGAATCATGAGCTTGAAAACATTTGCCCGATATTTGAGAGAATTGTCCTAGTCGGTTTGCTCTGTCGTACACTGAAAGCGTATTCATCACTGTTGTTTTGCCGTTTCGTTTTTGCACGATTTTAACATTAGGTTCTTTTGTTTGAAAAAAGATAAAAGCAAAACAAAACAAAAAACAAAAACGAAACCATCGAAACCGACCTGGAACCGGTGAAAACCAACGGGTCAGACCGATTTCTTGCCGGGCCAATTACAGGCCCAACAGATGAGGCGGGTCGTGAACTGGCCCGGTCTTTGGCCATGTCTATATTCATCCTTTTACAGTAGTATAGAATATAGAATAGATGTATTTTGCATGTTATGCACTGTGATAAATATAAATAATTTTTTAAATATTTCACAATCGCACTTGATAGCATCTCCAACCTTGAACCTGAATTGTGTAGTGTATGTGGCAATAAAATAAATGGATCCACGTGGAACAAATAGGATTTTCAAGCCCATAAAAAGTCTCCAATGGTTTATTCTATCTTCATGTCATCCATTTATTTTGTATTATAAATAAAGAGAAGAAAATAAGTCTAGAAGGACTTCTAGAATTATTGTTCTCTTTCATGCCACATCATTACAAATTTAAGTGAAAAAATCGTTGTTGGAGATGTTCTTTTATTAGATTGCTTATACAATCCCATAATTAACATACAGTTGGAGATGCTCTGAGCCCATCACCTCGACGCTAGACCTTAGCCAGTGGCACCTCTTAAAACCTTAAATCATCATCACGTCAACATCACACTTGCAAGTTTAGAGGGAGATGTTCAAGCTTCAAACGATTATGCATCGAAATTTATAAATTTAGCATTACATCTCACATCCCAAACAAGAGAACCAAATGAAAAAAAAAACAAAAGATGCTCCCCATCCTGGTTTTTGTCTGTCACCGCATGAAATACATCACCTCGTTTCAAGGTTGACATGCAAAAGGGCACGAACTGGTCCCAGGTTTTACATTGACTGGCTTACAGCTAAAGATGTCCATGTAAAGTTTATGTCTCGCTTCCCCCTCCCTACACTTCTAATACGGTCTGTAGCGTCTATTACGGTTACTACTATCATCCCCGCTACTGCTTGGGCCCCCACGTCCTTGTGGGCCCCCACCACCATTACTTCTGTCATTCCTACGAGGTCTGACAGGTGGAGCCATCTGTACCCCGGGCTGCTGACTGATTTGTTTTCATAATGAAAAATAAAAAAGAAAAAAAATTGTCAGACGATATAACCTTTCTTTTTAAATCTGGGAAATGCCATAAACTATATGTATGAGGAGACTTACAGAACATAACCAATTCGACCATCGGGTAAAACCATCGGCACCATTTGCATTCCAGATGGCATTGGCCCCCTCCCATAAATCATAGGCTGTTAAAAATTTCCGTTGCATTAGAAAAGTACATGCCGTGGGAACAATCAATGACATAATATAAAAAAGAGAACATCGAAAACAAGATATTGAAAAGAAATAAAGAAAGGTGCAAGTATACCTGCTGAAATCCAGCAGCTGCACTATATCCAGCAGCCATAGGCGCAAAAGGACTTACGGGTATACCAGCATATCCTGGATGAGGAATATAGTTTGGCATTTGAGGATTTAGTGGACTAGCTGCATCAAACCTTTTCTCAGTCTGCGGCTTTGCGAGGACAACTTCTAACAGCTGGCCTGTGTTTCAGAAGAATATTAATTGCCTACCACACCCCAATGGCCCGATATGGCCCATATCCTCATATACATGAAACCAGCAGAAGGTGTTCGATATCAATTTCTATTTTATATATTCAATAATTGGGCTTTAGGCCCATAGAGTTGGAATACACATCGGGGTTAGATATAGGGTAGCATCTATTTATGTAGACAAAGTTATCACGGTTCTCTTTGGTTGAATAGAATTGTCGGCATTTAGCTTAGGTTGGAAGTTTTTTCCCAAAGTATCGGCCCTAGGCGGGATTCGTCCTAAGTTGTTCTCAAATATTTTCTTAATTTATAATATTCATTATCTATTAGAAGGAAAACTAATGGTGCACTTGTGTCCAATTATTAAATTGACCCGAGTTTAGAATTATCAAGAGTCTAAGAAAGATTAGACAATGAATTTGACATGTTTTTAGCAATGCTAATGAAGCATGTGATTTGGTGTACTAACTAGAAATGATTGAGCCAACATACACAAGATTATGAAATATGTAAGGACAAACCATTTATCTCATATTTTTCAGTCTCCTTGACGGCCTTCAGTGCACTCAATCTTTCCGCATAGTGAACAAAACCAAAGTCTCGCTTTCCACCACTTTTGGCCGGCGGCATAACAACTTTTGTGACTTCCCCATGCTGCTGGAATAGTTCCTTCAGCTGTTCAATTGACGTGTTTTCTGGTATATTCTTCACATAAAGAGCCTTGACCTGGATAAAAATACATTGAAATGGAAGATTTGGGTATTATTACGACAACATAGCAACTGAAATCATATGCCAAACAAATATAATGGTGCATACACTAACATCAAACAAACTAGAAGGAAATAAGGACATTTCAGAAGCTCGTACAGAGTTCAAAAGAAATGTGTGAAATCAAGGGGTTGCACGGGTTAACTGAAAAAAGAAATAATGATATAAACAAAAGAGTGAGCTGAATTGCACAAAGACAACTGATTTGGCATCAAACTAAAAGAACTCATACGTCAATAAAGTTTCACGAAATGACGTTATGACTAAAATACACAAAAGTGGATGCATACAAGCTACAGTAGCAGGAGGACCCATGTGGATACTTATAGCAAGTTATGGGAGAAACATCTCTATATAAATGGTGTTCATAATATACTTTTTCATAAGTAGAAGCCACCTACAGTAATAGTGCCTAATTCCACAAAATGAAAACATCCATTGTGAATGGAGATTTCAATTCTAAACAACACTGAATCTTGTGCAGCAATCCGTGCACCAATCCACTACATACATTCCTCATGTGATTCCAAGTTCACAGTAGCCTTATTTTACCATGAGCTGGAGCATCATTATAACTCTCACAGCCTCGCCTGAACCAATTCCGAGACAAAACTCATGGCACTTAAAACTAGCTATTTGCAGTTATCAAGAGCCAACACAAAAAATTAAACTTTGAGACAACAACTTGAATTGATGGAAACAAGTGACGTTGTCAAGAAAATTTTCCTGCTTACTAATAACACGTAATGAGGTGTCGTAGAACAGATAAGTTTCACAAAGAAAGGAACTGGTGACATCTCAACCATTCTCCGTTACAATGTTAAGACCCAGCATTCCAATGAATCATGGTATTAAAACTACCTTCAGACTATTCATTATCGTTTATCACAAAAACATCAGAACTTAAGATTAAGATAATGACACTATGATAACATCCACTTTTAGCATTATACCTGAGCAGCAGCAGAGTGATCACTAGTAATCTTTGGATCGGCCCAAGTAACAGTAGGTGTGTTGCCATCCAACTTGAAGCTTGGGGAAGACATTTTCTGTCGAGAATAATCAGCACAAGCATTGTTGTAGTATTCCACAAAGGCAAAGCCACGATTACGGGTTGGGTTCTGGGGATCCTACAGTCGAGAACTAAATAAAATAAGGGCATGATTGGAAAATAAATTATCGCATCGGAACTAATATATATTTTTTACTTTCAGCAGCAAAAGTAGCACGAAAGAAGACCTTTATGAGCTCTATTACTTCTGCACCAGGACCAGTTGCTTCAATGATTTTTCTGAAATCCTCATCAGTCCAAACCTTGGGTATGTTACCTATGAACAATCTGTACTTAGTTTCTGACAACGAACATCGTAATGTTCTTCCCTGCAATCAAGAATGACATAACCAATGAAATAGCAGAAAAAAGTGTGAACTAAACCTTGTGGTAAAACACGAAAATGCACATGGGCTTTACGCTACAAATACTAATATGGTTGCTATCTTGAAGAAAAGGTTTAAATCACCTTGAATTCTTTGTTATGTAAATCTTCAATTGCCTTTTGTGCCACATCTTTTGTTCTGAAGGCTACAAAAGCAAAGCCCTTGCTTTCACCGGTATCCCTGTTTTTCATGACTCTAATCTGCCATTTGATGAAGCAATGAGTAATATATGGAAATAAATTTCATGATAAATTATTTGTCACTTGCACATATATAAATATATTTTTCTTCCTAAATTAAAACAGACCTCGAAAATTTCACCGAAGTGTTCACAAAGTTCTTTCAAGTCTTCCTCTGAAACGTCTCGAGAAAGTCCTCCAATGAAAATTTCAGAACCATGGGGAGGAAGATCGAGAAGTTCAGCATGTTTTGCCTTCTCTTCTTCGTTAATAGGTGCAGACTTTTCTTCATCTACCACATCTGGTGACTGAATATCATTTTCTTCTGTGCGTGGAGATTCTTTCTCCACACCATCCTCACTTCTAGCTTCCTCCAGAGGTTCTTCTTCATTTTCTTCACCTTCGTCTCCAGGTCCTTCATCATCCATAGGTTCTTCAACATCCTCATCTTCTTCAGAGTAATTATCATCATCAAGATCCACACGGTCATCAATCTCGGTGTTCTCTGCCATGATACCCTTCTAACTATCGCCACACAACAAACAAGATTTCGAGGCCTTTGGTCCACCAATGAAATCTGCATGCTTAGATTGTCATTATGGCAACGGACAAAATGTGTAAACCATCTGCAGATGGCATGGATATAGCAGAAAGGCATTTACCATCGTTTTGGTTCTTATATATGTGACGTTTCAGGACATAGGACTTTTATTTCGATGTTCTTGGTTAATATGGGATAAATTTTTCATGTGTTTCCGGAATCTATAAAAATATTTATGGACTAATGGGTATAGACAAAAAGGTTCTGTGTTCTTTCCCCTGGTGCTACTAGTATCGAATTTTCTGCATAGGGAGAAAAAGAGCAATACTCACTGCAAAAGGAGACTCGGGAGTAAAATGCCAGAAGATAATACTTCAAACACAACCAATACCAGAAGACAGAAGAAACCCATACAGATTTCCTTCTTCCTTGTATTCAAAAGGAAACATGAGTACCCTTCCCAACCTTTTCTAGATCACCAGTTAAAAGAAGAACAATACTTTTCAACTCGTAACATCCAGAAGCTAGCAAATAACATAAAAGACATAACAAAGCAATAAAAAAATGAATGAAGAAAATAGCTGGCAAAGAACTGAAAACCCCAAAACCTATCAAACTACCCGGATACACACACACACACACCCCATAGGAGAACAAGTTTAATGCGATCGAGATAAAGCAGTACCAGCTAAAACCAGCAACTAGACCAGCTCAAATCAACTAATCCAACAGTTAACACAGGATAACCAAAATAATACATCCTCATCTTAAAAAAACACAATTATTCCTTAATCATACGAACCCGACTAGCCTTGAATCGAAATGAGCAAAAACTCCTCGTTCCAGCAGTCGAAGCATTACTCTCCACATCGCAAATTTAACTACACCAAATGCAACTAGGGCAAAACAAGAACAAAACCCTTTTTCACGGGGCGAACGCAAAACACTGGGGCTATAGTGATTCAAAGGTTTTATGGCCCGGGTGGGTGTGTATGTGTGTATGTATATATATGAGCGTGTGTATGTGATGTATGTAACTGAGAGTATAACAACAGCAGCAGATGAAGAGATTTGAGTAAGGACTTTGCATACCGCCGGAGAATTTCTCAAAATTATTTTTCAAGATTTCGCCTTTATCTATCGACTGTGAGATCTAATCCGAAAGAATGAGAGAGAGAGAGAGAGAGAGAGAGAGAGAGAGAGAGAGAGAGAGAGAAGGGGGCTGAGCTCTTCCTTTTTCACCTCTTTCGTTTTACAGAAAAAGGGAAAATCTGGCCCTAATAAATCTGTGCATTTTGCCGTTCAGCTTCGTTGGTGCACTTCCGTAGATTTCTGGCGAATATGGGATAGTATTGTCTTTCCACTTCCTTCATGCATCACTTGTTTTGTTTTGTTCCGTTGACCACCGCGACGGGAGATGTTACGGTCCTGTTACGAGACCATTTAGTCGAGTTTGTAACCGTTAGATCAACTATGTCTCAATTACAAGTCTCAACGAAATGGTTTCGTAATGAGATCGTAACATTTCTCTACAACATTGGTGAATTGTTTGAGAGATAATTTTTATTTTTGAACAACTAAAATTGAATAAAAGTACTATAAATTAACATATAAATAGTTACTCATATAGTTATATAATTGATTTGTCGCAATTTAAAAAATATATTATTAATATTTTAACTTTTTCAAGGATTAAATAAAATTTTAATGCCGATAAATAATTCTTTTGTCATGAATCACTAGAGAATCAAATTTTTGAGTCAATTTAAACGTGGACATTTGTCAAATTCTATGCCAAAGCCAGTTTATAAATTCTCCTTTTTTTATATGGAAATTAATTAAATTCTAATTCCTAAAATATTTAATGAATTAATTATTTAAAATATATTGTTTGTCAATTAAACAATGGAACGTGTATATTTTGAAGGTCAATTAAAGAATGTCACATGTCGGTTAAGTAGCTTGATATTGTTTAAGCAAGATCTCGGGTTCGAGTCCTTGTGGATGCAGAAACCTTTGTTAGGAGACTCACCCACCACTGCCAAGTGTGTCACCCGGGTCGACTAACGAATTAGTCGGGACATAGCTCCGGATACCGTGACTGGCTACCAAAAAAAAAAAATGTCACATGTCATTTTATTGAAGAATAAAATAAATAATTATTTCTTTTAATGATTATTATTAAACAGATTATGAGCATGCTTGGATACAAATTCAATCCAAAATCCAATCATTTTTAACTCAACCACTTTCTTTAACTTAATTTTAACAATATCCACTATCATCAATATTATCAATATAATTAAATAATATCAATCAATCATTCTTACACACAAAATCAACCTTAATTCACTATTCATCTACTCACACAATTTTAACTAACCACCAGATCACATCTTCTCTCTTTACTTTTACATCAATAATTTTAATCATTTTATTTTAAATATTATTTTAATATATCCACCAACAACTAACTATACCAACTTTTTCAAATTTAACCGACTCAAACCAAAAATTTATAACTACTGAACATTGATGTAATTATCTTTTAATTATTAATGAGGTAAATATTAGAAATTCATGAAACAATCAAATTGATGTCTTTTATTTTCGAGACTTTCTCTTCTACACATGTAAATAGAGCTCCTAAGGTCAAAGGGACACCTCATAAATCACGAACTCTAAATAATTCTCTTGAAAATGTAAAGATGTTCTCGAAGATCCAAGATATTCAAGTTGAAGATCAACATTCAATCTGGAATCAAGCCTTAGAGCATCTGAAGTACGTGTAATGAAGAAAAGGCCAAGAAGCAAAAAAAGAGGAGGCAACCCTTGTCCAAGAAGTAAAGAGGCGACATTCACTTCTTCCAAATTAATCCAAGAATATCAATGACAACATTCAACATGCTTTCATCGTGGAGCTCAAGAAACGTAACATTTGATTCGAAAAAAAGGTTACAAGCACGCGAATCAATGTAGTTCAAGTCCAAATCTGTCTTCAAGAAGGATCAAATAAGAAAAATTGTCAAGAAGTCGTCTTCTATTAAATCAAGTCCTAACAATAATACGAAAAAATAAGTCATTTAACCCCAAATTAATGTTAGAGAAATTCAAGATCAAGCCTGAAGAAAATTCAATTGTCAAATCCAAGTTCACAAAGGGAAGCCTCGGTATGTTTCACATAAAGATAGTACCTTTAAAATCGTTTGATATCATTAAAATCAAGTTGTTCAAAAGTTTTATGTTTCTTATAAAATTTATTGTTACAAATTTGACATGTCCGAAGTTCACCAAAAAGCAATACTCGATCACCAAACCACATCAACAATTAACAGTGGAAAAGCAACAAAAAATTGGGCACAAGCGAACTCTCCTGAAGCAAGATATATGAATGTGAAAAGAAACAACAAAAAATTAGTTACAACCTAAGCTCAACCTATTGTTTAGCCTTCATATGTGAGAAAATAAGAATGGTTGGAGTGGAAGTCGTGCGTGTCCCACGAGGATAAGGAATTTGAGTTTGAATATGAAAAGGATTGAGAATCCTTGTCAAACTATTATATTTATTAGAAATTGAGTTTGAAGAGCAGAAGAACTTTGTTGTTGTACTGTTGTGTCCCACACGGCGGAGAACCTTTGTCGATTTTTTATCACAATGACTTTAATTTTATTTTTAATATAAATTCACACATTCATGGCTTGGAAATAGATCAGTTGGTTACTGGTCAGTGCTTTCTGTGTGAATAAAGAAGCAATTTGCTGATCAGTGCTCCCCAGCGTTGGAACGTGTTCGTTGTTTGTCTGTTCAAGTATCGACAATGATCCTTCCGCAGGCTCACTTATAGAAACCTTGTTACGACTTCTCATTTCTTTAAATGGTAATGTTTAGTAAACTCCTCGCAATGTCGTGGGCAGCGAATCGTCCAGGTCACCTTTCAAACACATTATTGGACCATTGAATCCATAGGAGCGACGAACGGTGTGTACAAAGGACAAGGACGTAGTCAACGCAAGCTGATGACTCGCGCTTATTAGAAATTCCTCGTTGAAGACCAACAATTGTAATGATTTATCCCCACCACGATGAAATTTCAAAGATTACTCAGGCCTATCGGCCAAGGCTATAGACTCGTTGAATACATCAGTGTAGCGCGTGTGGCCTAGACCATAAAAGGGCAACACATACCTGTTATTCCCTAAAACTTTCGCAGCCTAAAAGGTCGCAGTCCCTTCCGCAGCCCAAAAGGTTGGAGTCCTTCTATGATGTTGGCCTTAGAGAGATACCTTGCATAGATAGTTAGCAAGTCAAGGCATCGTTCATGAACAGAATTAACTAGACAAATCGCTCAACCAAGTAAAAATGGCCATGCACCACCACCTTTAGAATCAAGAAAGAACTCTTTGTTAAGGGTTAGAGAGAGAAGCTCTCATCTCTCACTAAGATTTCATCTTAGGCGCCTGAACTTTGAGCTGTTTCTGTGATTTTTCAATTGATTTCGCTTTTGTAAATTCCACTCACGATTCAATTACATATTTCCAAATCCATTAAGCCGAAACTCACATTGATTTTCAGCTTTTTAATAGCACTTCTTATGAAATATGAATCAGCCACCTGCCACTATCTTTGGCCAATTAATTTCTTTTGAGTGCACTAATTTCATGGAATTCATGCTACTCAATTGATTTTGATTATCCAATAGTCCAGCACCTGTTCCAATCACTTTGACTGAGGCCTACATCTTCAAGCCATAGAACCTCAAGCTGCTTTTTTCATGGGCAAATCAAGATCAAAGAAATAACTCCGCTACCAGAAATTGACGGAGGAGGAGTGCTCCGGCCACTCCAACGAACATGATGACTCCTCCCAAGAGGACTCGGGGGAGGAACAAGACACCATGGCTGAAACTGAAATGGAGATTGAAAATAAGTTGATTAATGATGATGATGATGATACTAATGGTGATAATAATG